TCCATTCCAATAAAACATGCAGAATACCTAATACCATGCAGTTACATAAAACAAAAGTAGATACTGAGTCAAATCCCATATCCATCTTTCCAAAACAGCAACAAACCATGCTACTGTGTTCTACTTTATACACAAAAATCTTTAAATGCACTTCAAATTTTTTTGCTATTTCTTTATCTGTTTTATCTTACCCAAATTGCACGTTCCTTGAGTTCAAAGAAGATATACATAGAAAACTACTTCTCTAAAAGAGTAGTTTACAAGGTAGGCATTAAAGTAGGTAAGCATTAAAATCAGTGGACATTTTAATAAATACAGATGCTGGAGCCCTAAGCTGGACCTGATGGACAAAAGTCTTGGGATGTGGAGGCCAAGCACTTAGAGTTTTACAGAGCTCCATGAGCAATTCTCATGTACAGTCAAGGTTGAGAACCACAGAAAAGAAAGGGCAGACAAAGTTGCCTAGAAGCAGAAAATGTTAAAAGCTCTACAGGACCTTAACAATCATTTAATCAACTCTTCTTCTAAAGTATGAATCTGAAGTTGTAGGAAGTTAAGGAAATTGTCCAAGATCACATAGCCAGGAAAGCCCGGAAGAGAATCCAGGTCTACCGGCATGCAGACTAGTGAGTGCCCTTTCCACCACACAAGGCTGGCTACTCCACTTGGGAGCGAGATACAGTACTAATTCTTGATTCTACCACAAGCTTAATCAATACAATAAGCATTCATATAGCAAATTCTCAGGAAAATGTGATTTAAAAAAAAAACACTACTCTTTCTTGAAATCAAATATCTCTTTTGGAAAGAATGATGATAGGATCTGAAATGGAAAGTTGTTTTGATATATAAATGAGCTGAATCGCTATAAAGTGCCTGGAAAAGGCGCTCAATAAATGTTCCTTCCCTTCAACACCACACCCACCTCCCCTTTCCTTTGTGCTTCTATATCAAGATACCTCTCCTTAACTCTCAACTATGCCCCTTTTATAGTGTTTCTCCTCACTGGCAAGGCCTTTTGACCTCTTCTCCTTCAATAATGCTCATAAATTTCTTCAAGGCCCGGTCTCAAATGTGCTTCCTAAGAAATCTTCTGAACTAACCTAACCCTACTCTCATTACTTGTTTCTTCCTTCATTATTTAAAATACTTGTAGTTTTAAACCATATACTTGCTTATCCCTTCTTTTAAAGCTTTGTAATTGTAATTACTTCCTAGTTGCTTTGTACATTCTTCTTTTCCAAATTCCATAACTGGAGCATAAGTTACTAATGGGCTAGAATATAAGCCCCCCAGGGTCAAGGACACTGGTCTGTTTTGCCCACTGATGGATCACAGGCATCTATGCCAGGAACACAGAAGGTGTTCAATAAATACTTGCTGAATGAACAGGCAAGGATTATTTCTCCTTCCACTCATGAATCTCTCCAAAATTCCAAATGTAATGCTAAAGACACAGATATGAAAAATTAAACTTTTTGAAACAAGGAAAATAGACATGCCCGATATTTTAGAAAATCACAACATTTAAAAGAATAGACTACAACAGATGAATCGACTCTCTGGCTACAGGAAGTCACTCAGCTTCTTCATTACACACTCTCAGTGATACCTTATCATTACTGTAAGAACTGGACATACAGTGTCAGCTGATAAACAGAAGGTAAAGGACTTAATCACAACTTAAGAGTTTGAAATCCTACCCTCCTATAGTAAAAAGTTGCTAAATTTTACTCTCTTTTAAAACTTTGAATTAAGAATAATCTAAGGAAAAAACACCAATTCCTACCTTACTTGTGTCTCAAGTTATGTAAAAGAACAGTAGATAATTTTTAAAATATATAAATTTAAGAGAGTAATTTTATCTTTTAACAAAGTACTTATTTCACCCACATAAATAACCCAGAAGCCTGCAAACAGGATCACACCTTTCCTAAGGTATAATTTTTGAGCCAAGCACATTCAATAACTATTCATTGATAGTGATAATTTTACAAATTAGCCCCCTAAATAAAGAAACACGTTTAAAAAAATTCTACCCAGAAAAATTACCTGCTTTCTAGCTCATGTAATTTAATCAAGATACAAAAGTCCACCTAGTCTATATACAGGACTGTACAAAAAACACATTAATACGGTTAGGCATTCAGTGACAAAACAGAATTGGGAAGGTTCAGTATTTTTTTCCAGTTATCTTAAGCCATACATTTCTCTACACACATGAAAAGATAACAGTGATAATTAGAAAACATAACAAAAATCATAGCTGATTACATAATCTCATAGTTCTTAGCTACGATGCTATTTTCCAACTGTCAAACTATAGGAAAATTGAATGATTAGTAAACTGTAATCTAACCAGTCAATTACATTGAGGGAGATTATACTAAATAGCAGAATGAATGGGTTTTGGAGTCAGACTGAGGTTCAAATTCTAGCTCTCTCATTTCCTAGCTGTTTGATCACAGGCAAAATGTTTAACTTCTCTGAGCCTGAGTTCATCTACAAGATGAGCATAAAATTTCTCCCTTGCAGAATTGTGATGAAGATGAAAAAAGATAATGCGTCACTCACTCCTTTGCTTAAATCTTCCAGTGATTCATTATAATTTATAAAGTAAGTTTCAAACTCCTTCAAAAGCTATGTTACTTTCAGAGAAAGGAACCATGTTTTCTGGTCTCAACATTTCTTAAAACATCCAAGCAGAAATATCCAATAGGTAGACAAAATGTAGGCTTATTGTTGGAACACAGGGAAGAGCAGACAAGCAAAGTTGTGTCATCGTGCAGCCAGATAAATTTGCTCAAAGACTGATATTTTTGCAATTTGGATATACCAGTCTTTATTCCTCCTACCTGCTATCATTATCATGGGGTTACTTATTAATTCCTGATTAACACATATTTTCATAGTAATGGCCTGGAACAATTTTTTAAATGCCCTAGGACAAGTAAACTCCTTGCCACTCTCCTCCCTTAGCATATCATAAATTTTCCAATACGATAAATATGGTGATTTCAGCTGTGTTTTAAATAATCCATTAAATTGTTAGTCTTTTAGTTTATCTCCTACTTCCAAATGAATTCTCTATTATTGACTTGATAGTAAAATTTAGCACAATCCAAGTGGAATCCAGACTCTAGATATTTCTAGGCTCAACCTAAATTAAGCATTTCTACTCTTTCCCAATTTTTTTTCATATTGATGCAATCACTTCCTCGACCAGAGAGTAAGATCCTCTAAAGGGAGGAACCATTATATCATCTATGTCCATATCGCTTAGTCCACCATCTCCAAAAACCTATGCAACTTGTATATACATATATTCAATTATATCTCTGTTTTGTTTTGTCTTAATTCTCTACTTCCCAAAGTCAAATAATTAAATTAAAACTAATTTGTGGCCTGTCATAGCTACCATTTACTGAATACTTAATATATGTCACTCTGTATTTTTTTAAACTACAAAATATTACCATAATTTCTCAACTCTAAAATATTATAGACTTATAAGATACCTCATAATTTGAGAATTGTTAAAATGTGAAAAATAGTAAATGGTGACTATGAGGTGTCATTAATTAGAAGACACATTCATTTTCAGGGGAAAAAATGTGCATCTTACAATTTTAACCTCATTTTAGAAATGGAAGGTCAGAGAGTGCTTAAAAACCCTGTCCAACATAAATACCTGATAACCAAATTAGTCACCTGTAACAATCCCCAGTAAGTGGGGGAGAAATGGATCCAAAGCCAGCTGCTTTAACTACTTCCTGTCCATTATGTAAAATATGCACATATCTAGTATGTGTTGATATGCTCAGAAGATCACTTATAAAACTGTCTTGCATACATTTCCCCAACTTTCTCATAACAGAAGATAAAATTCAAAAGGTCATTACCCCTCCATGAGAAAATACACAGTAATTACAAAAATCTGAAATTCATTTTGATACATTCTAAGCAGAGAAATATGTCTGACTTTATCAAATGGCACCACATACTGCAGTTTGTTGAGAATGCAAAGGGATCAATTAACTTTTTCTTGGACAGAATATATATTACAAATTAATACCAAAGTGATTTGCCAATATACAATTAAACATTTAAGATATAATTTCCAAATGATTGAACATTTTCACTTAACAAGCAGATATATCAATCGATAAATTTTATAGACATACAATGATACAATTTCACTTAACTCTTTAGATATTCACTCGCTTCCACTATTAAATATTTAGGTTATTGAAATATAAATATTACATTAAACAACACAGAACTTAATTCCAGAATAAGGAGTGCTATATTTTATCCTTAAGTATTTGCTAGTAGAATAGAAAAAGGAATATGGAGATGTGACATTATATTCAACCTCCACCTAAGTATGTCTTAGTGAGACAGTGAATAACGAAAAAGCAGACAGAGTGGTAATTAACCTGGTAATAATTTTAGAACTAAAGTTTATTTCAGGTGGTAGGATGGTTTTTTTTAGGAATTAGTAGGACCATTTAGAATCAAAACTTAGAATCTGTACCTTGAGCCTCAACTATAAGAAAGAGCAGAATAAATTCCATCTCTCTCTCTCTCTCCATACCCCCTTCTCTCTCTCTGTGATAAATGTCAACATTTCAAATTATTTTATCCTAAGAAAGAAGTATCAGATCTGTAGAACATAAAATAGGAATAAATAAAAAAGCATGGGATTATTTTCATTAAATATAGAGAGATATATATATGTGTGCAGAAATTATTAAATGTCATTTTCTTTTAAGAGTAAAAACAATTGGTAGCCTAAGATTAAAGGGCTCAGCAATTTATTTTCAACCCAAGATCTAGGTTCCAATATGACTGAACTAAAACAGATTTGTAGGGCAGATTCACTCAATATTACGTACATCAGGTATTTCTCAATTTGTTATATAAAGCGTCATAGAATTCATCACATTTTGTTTTCTATGAATTAAGAACTAATAATTATGTCAAAATTCTCATCTTACCTCTCCATTTCTTAATGTTGTGATGGTTCCTCTTGCTACACCCATTCTAAATAGTGTTTCCGTGGCCTGTGAATGAAAAAAGCAAAAATATATCATCTGTAATCTGTATTCAACTATATATCCCAACCTCAAAATGTAAAAAACATTCAATACTACATTTCCAGAACTTCTACAGAAGCATCAATAAGGCATAATAAAAGCTACAAACTGTACTTTATACTCCAGAAATATCATTTTCAGAACCTTTTAATGTTATCAAGAGCCCTAACTGAATTGTTTCAAAGATTATTTTGATCTGCTGGTATTCTTCCAGGTCTTTAGTTTCAAATTAGTATACTTAGATAAGTTTAAATCTTAGTTTAATTAACAAAGATTAAATAAAAATTTAGTCCTTGGATTCAATTCAGAAACTATCATTTACTCTGATTTTGAATTTCCATTTGAGTTCAGTTCAAATCACTTGACTGCTTCTGAAATACTGACAGAAAATGAAGTAATTCAGTGAAGTCACATATTAAACAACACCCAAAAAGACTTACTGCTTTCTATATACTAACAATGAACAATCCTAAAAGGAAATTAAGAATTCTATTTATGATAGCATCAAAAAAGTAAATAAGATAAATACTTAGGAATAAACTTAACCAAAGAAGCAAGACTTGTTCACTGAAAACTACAAGACACTGCTGAAAGAGATTAAAGAATACATAAATAAATGGAAAGACACTCTGTGTTCATGAAGTGGAAGGCTTAATATTGTTAAGATGTTGATACTACCCAAAAGGATCTATAAACTCAACGCGTTTCCTATCGAAATCCCAATGACTTTTTTACAGAAATACAAAAATTCATCCTAAAATTCGTATGGAACCCAAAGGACTCCAAATAGCCAAAACAATCTTGAAAAAGAGGAACAAAGTTGGAGGACTCACACTTCCTGATTTCAAAACTTACTTCAAAGCTACAGCAAATAAACAGTGTGGTACTGTCATAAAAATAGACATATAGGCCAATGAAGTAGAAAAGAGAGCCCAAAAATAAACCCTTGTATACACAGTCTAATGATACTCAATAAGGGTATCAAGACCATTCAATGAGGAAAGGACAATCTTTTTTTAACAAATGATACTGGGAAAACTAGGTTTCCACATGCAAAAGAATGAAGCTAGACCCTTACCCTACATCACATACAAAAAGTAACTCAAAAGGGATTCAAAGACCTAAATGTAAGAGGTAAAACTATAAAACAACACTTAGAAGAAAACTAGGGAAAAGCTTTAGGATTCCCTGTCTGGTGAGGACCTGCTTCCTGGTTCCTAGATGGCTGTCTTGTTGTATCCTAATATGGTGGACAGCAAAGAAATGCAAGCTCTCTCTGTACTCTTATAAGGGCAGTAACCCCACTCATGAGGACTCCTCATCTAACCCTAATTACTTCCCAAAGGCCCCACCTCCCTAATAGCATCACACTGGGAGGCAGGGTTTTGACATGAATTTTGGGGGAACACAAACATTCAGTGCACAATAGGGGTATTCCAGTCAGAAGGAGCAGGAAGTACAAAGGCCAGTAGATAAGATCAGGCTTGGCTTGTTCAAAGACGAGTAAGATGGCCAGTGAGGCTGAGCGAAAAAGATTGCATGAGAGTATAGTTGAGAAAAGAGAGGATACAAGTTCAGTTCAGTATCAACTGTCCATACTGAACAGTATGAACTTCTGTTTAGTATGTGGTTTTAGTTTTTAACCTGGCATAAGAGGAATGCCTTACCAACCTTCAATAATCAAAAATATAAGTCAAAGGGTACTCTACTAAACATCAGGTTTAAGAAACAGTATATGAACAACAAAGAAAAGAATTTTAAGTTTAAAAACTGAATGCACATCTAAAGAAATCCAAAGGGTGAGAGGGATGGAAAACTGAAGAAAACTGACGTATGTGTACAAAATCAGTGTCATCAGTTGTACAGAGTTCATTGACTTCCCCGCCTTCCAGGGACACTGGGATCTAGGGCCTACATGAAAGACTGTGTCTGGGCTCAGAGCTGGAGACGGCCACTCCAGCCCTGGCCCCAAGGCACAAGTTAATAAGAAAATGTCTGGCGTCATGTTCCTTGTCTGGGCTGGCCACCCCGACAGGCACCTGACTGGACTATAGAAACATCCCATCCGTGGGAACAAAAAGATAGAAACATCCCATCCATGGGAATAAGAAGAAATAATTCAAAGGATCCAAATGTCTGAAACCCTGAGTCAGAACCCAGATAACATTAGAATAAAAGGGACTCACAAGCAGAGAACAACTGGGAGTCTCCCGGAGGAGAGGACACTCTGCCTCAGACCGGGACAATCGGCACTCCCGCCCGCCGTACAGACTATTGGGACCTCCCGGGCTGACTGTGTTGTGGATGTTGTAAGTACTGATTTGTTGTTCTTTGCTTCCTCGCTCCTCGTTCTGTTCCCCTTTATCAATAAACTCTGACTGCTTAAACAATCAAGTAGCCTTGGCAGTACCTGTCATTCCTTGCACTTTGTGGCTGCGGACAACATCAGTGTAATATAAATAGCAGTGTAAACATGTAATTCAGATATAAGGAATTAAATATCAGAAGAAATAAGGAAAGGGTTGCAAGTGGTTGCCTTTGGGTTGTGGAAATCAGGCATTTGGAAGAGGTGGAAAAAGAGTACTACTCTTTTTCTGCTAGCTTCGCAGCATACTATTTGATTGTTTAAACTACATGTAAATCCTTGATCAAACTTCTTTTTTAACTTTTAATGGAGTAGGTATCAACAGTGTGCAATTTCACAAAGAGATCAAATACTTTACAATTCTAACAGAGTAGTGCATATAAGAAAAGAGTTGAGGACTGAATACGAGGGTACAAAGTCAAAGTATGAGTAAACTCTTTCAAAAAGCTTGACAATAAAGGTAAGGAATGAGATGGAGTTGTTGCTAGAAAGAGCAGAGATGAGAGAAAGTTGATAACAGGATATTTTTAGGATAGAAGAGATTTAAACAGGTTTTTATTGGCTAAGTAGTAGTGGTCAGTAAGGTGGAACAAGTTACAGACACGGGAAGGAAAATGGATAGTGCTTGAAAGAGATTCCTGTAGAAGAGACAGGACCAAAAGCACACAGCCATCTGTTAGCCATGGTAAAAGGGAGAAGGTGCAAATACAGTAAATGTTTTCCCTCTCTCTCCCTCCCCTCTCTCTCCTCTTATCCAACCCCTCTCCGCCTCTGGCTCTCCCTCTCTCAGTTAGGATTCAGGATAATCTTCCAAGAACGACAAAGACACTGACTTAGGGACAGGAGGAGACTATGTAACACACGTAAAAGGAAAACATAAGGGAATGGAACACAGAACTGCCAAGCAATCATAAAAGCCCAGCTAAGGTTGAAAATCATAAATCTTTGTTGTTACAAATCCACATAGTTACGGGATCAGAAAGCTAGAGGGATTCATGGTTTCAGAACTGTCAAAGAAAAGTGAGCAAGGCTAGAAAGGATAAGGACTAAATGGATTAATTCAACTGTATTGGTAAAATACAGCATGTAATTTACAAATAAAAGCAAAATTTTTCTAACATTTTTTAAATGAGGAATAGCCATCTTTTGAACATTCCTACACACACCCCCACCCAAAAAAGGGGGTGGGGCGTTAATGTCTACATGCTAAGTAAGAAAATAAAAAACTTTCAGGGCAAACACTGCTAAATTTTGTGATTGCAGCACAATACGATTAAAATTCCAATTCATAATTCACTGAGAGAGTTAAAATAAGCCATTTAGGGGGAGTGATGGGGTTATCCACATACCCAAAAAAAAGCAGATTATAATCTAGTGATGTGATCAACAGTACTCATCTAGGTCAGGTTAGTTACTGGATATATTTGAAGAGCAAAAGGGGATAGGCAGAGGCAGCAAGCATTTGGGATGAAGTATGCAACAACCTGTCTAAACCAGATCAAACTACTTACTTTTTTGTGTCTCAAAAACCCAACGCAGTTTGAAGATCTAATTCTTTTTCTGCACTTTCTCCAGGAGAAGAATACCAAATTCAATCTTTTGTTTCCAACTAAATTGATTTATTTCATCAGCTCTTCCCGCCAACATTTTTAAGGATGTCTCATTCTAACAGCGTTGTGTCAATTCAGCTCAGCTTCCTTTGATTCCATAGGGAAGCACTGGAGTGCACAACATTCTTTTGACTTCTACTGAAGAGACTGCTTTTAATTTACTTGTACCCAAACAACAACTAACAAGTGTCAAAAGCAATGAGCTACAGGGCTAATTCTCAGCATTGGTAAATTTACCACCAGCAAATTCTTTATTGAAATTTCCCTCTCCTTGAGTTTTGATAACAACTAAAATGACTAATACTAAAAAGATTTTCAAACATTTTCTGTCAGTGGCAGGGAAAATAATCATCTATAGGTCCTTGTTTAAAAATAGGTTATCAAGAGATACTGCTTTCAAGAAGAATGTTAGAAAAAAGACACAGGAGACACGAAATCTAGATGTAATAAATGCAAAGTTATGGATTGGATTCCTGTGTTTGTGTGTGTATGTGTGCAAATCAAAAAAGATCCAGCATGTACAGTGAGGTGATAACAGTAGTAACCTCTGGGTGTTTTTCCTTATTTTTAACTTTCTACTATGCACATATACTGTTTGGTAATAATAAAAATACAAAGTTAGAAAAAGTAATAATTTTGTTACACTAAAAGATAAAACAGATTTAAAACAGAATTGTGAAATAACATAAAATGTTATAATACATGCAGTACTACACTGAGTAGCTCCCAAAGCGAAAATAATAAAAATTCAGTACAGACTCATGCTCTTACAGTGCAATACTTTTTAATTTATTAAACCAACACAAAATAAGTAAAATTAACAAGAAGAAATATATATTTGATATACTTTACCCTGAAAAGCAGTGTGATTATAACAACTTTAAAGCATCATATTACAGAGACTACAATGGGGTAATTTAACAGGCAGTTTATAAATATTAATACAAAAGTTGTATTTAGCAGATATTTATTTCCTATTAGTCAAGCAACTA